CTCGCCCGGCATGCTGCGGGAGGCCCCAGGGCCATCCCGCCTCTGTGTTCTGGGGGCCTGCCACCATGCCGCTGGCCCGAGTAAATACTTGCTAACTGACTGTGCACAGCGTGTAATCGATGAGGTCACGGCGGCTCCAGAAGGGAACGCCAGCTGCACGTGGATGAGTTTTGGCAGGAGAAACTGAGACGGAGGCCTGCAGTGGTCTGAGACTGTCGTGTGAAGTCCATGTAGGGCAAGGTGTTCACAAGATGGGATTCACAGGGAGGAAGGGGCAGTGGGGCAGGCAGACGGATGGATTTTCTTTTCCTTAACGATGTGGTTAAATTGATTTATACGCCTCCTTTTGTCAAATCTCCGATTTGGGATCATTTCCGGTCATGAGTTAGTAAGTGATTGGTCAGTAAGTGATCAGAAGGGTTTATATGATTATTACGAGTGCACAGCTTTGAGCTTCCTGGCAGCCAGGGCAAAACGGGATAAGCTAGGCCTCTCAGCTTTAAGCAGCTTCCGGGAGACAGACAGATGTCCCAGATCTAAATTTTAGATTTAAAATTTCAGATTTAAATTTTAAATTCCTGAGGAAGCTCACAGGATGAGGAATTAAAATGTGTCTGCAAAGGGAAAGGAAGAAGTGGTGACGATGGGGTGGGGGTGGGGAGGGAGATGGGTACCAAGATAAGAGTCTTCAAGCCTGGTTTGTTTTCAAGAGGCTGCCTCCTCTGGGCGGTCAGAGCCCCCTCCAGAGCTCTGAGGTGTTTCGGGAACACAGAGAACTCCCTGACATGACACACCCTCAGTGTAAGCAAGGTGAGTGCACCCGAGACCTGACCGTGGTCTGTCTTGGGGTCTGCCCACACCACGCCACCTCTAGGCCAGCCGCCCCTCCCCACCTCCCCCCACCCCCCCCTCCAAGTGAGGCCCTTTTGGCTCCCTTCCCTCTCCTTCTAGGCCCATCCCTTTGACCCTACTTCCCATGGGAGCTTCATCTCCATTTGTGAGCCATTTCCCTCTTCCCTTTCCTGCTCAAGCTCTGCACAGACCAGTTTCCTGCTGCAGTGGGGGAATGACTGCTAACTGGTCCAGAAAGCTGTGGGCGGTTATAGTTGTTCTGATGGTCCAACCGCGGTTAAGATTTCAAAGCTGGAAGGGGTCTAGCAACTGTGTGGGGGAGACTAGAAGAGATTCTTCTTCTTCTTCTTTTTTTTTTTTAAATATAACCTAGTAATACTAACAAACCCAAATGACAAACAATGCATACATTGTTATATGTTATTAATAACTCACGGAGATAGTTTGAGAAGAACTATAGGCAATTCCTGAGATACAAAACATTATAATCCTGCTAGGGAGCTCCTTAGGACCCTGCGTTGGCACCTTCCTAAAAACACACCCATCCTGCACTGTTAATAAGGAACCCCCAATCTGATCTGTTTTCAGTGTGAGTTCGAGGCTCCCCATGCTGCCCCAGGGCGTCCCACCTCTCTCTGGACGGGCTTGGTTTTGCATAGAACTGGGTTTTGCATAACACATCAGTGTGCTGGGAAAATGGAAAAACAGGTAGCTGGAGAGCCTGGGGCGGGGCACGCCTTTAGGACAGGTCTGGAGTTGCTCCCCTTAACTAGTAATGCTAGATATCTGACAGATGCTTCATTTGGGGGCCCAGTTTTCTTTGGGGCCACCAGCAAAACACACCGATGGGAAGCTGGCTGGTGTCTGGAGTACAGTCTATGGTTTACTCACTAGCGATGGGAAGCCGTGAGAATCATCCAAATGAGACCCCAGAGAGGCCACTCGAGTCAACATAGGGGAAAAGGACGCGTACTGTGAGGGCAGCTGGAATGCCAGGCCAGAGCCTTCCCACCATCGTCCTCCTGACATCCAGTTCCCTGACTCATGCGCCTTCTAGACGCCAATGACGCCGCAGAAAGCTGTCTGATCCTGACCCTCCACCAGCCCTAAACCTGGCTCTCTACTGCCCACCTGTCATCTCTGCTTACGTGTAATACAGACACAGTTGGCCAGAACAGAAGCCTTGATTTTCCTCCAAAATCCATTCTCCTGGACTCTCCCATTTAATAAATGGCACAAGCAATGCCCTAGCTGCTCAGGCCAAGATGCTGGAAGGCACACCCTCCAGTCCCTCTCCTTCTGTCAGCCCTTCCGAAGAGTGGTTCTCAGACCTCGCTGAACACAGAGGACGCCTGGAAGTTTAGAACTCCCCGATACCCAGGGCCCTGCCCCAAACCAATCAGAGCAGAATCTCTGGGGATGGGGCCCAGACATCCGTACTTCTTCAAAGCTCCCTAAGGGATTCTATGTGCAGCCAGGTTTGAGAATTAGAGGCTTAAAATACACTACAAATCCAACAGCTCTGTCCAGCTTCACTGCTCCCACTTTGGTCTTAGCCACAACCATGCCGTGTGCACACCACCGCCATCCCTCCAGTCCTCCTGGGTCTCTGCTCCACCTCAAACCCTCATTGCAAGCACAAGGCACTGTCTTTTTAAAAATCAGGTCATGGGGGCACCTGGGTGGCTCAGTGGGTTGAGCCTCTCTGCCTTCGGCTCAGGTCATGATCTCAGGGTCCTGGAATCGAGCCCCGCATCGGGCTCTGTGCTCAGCGGGAAGCCTGCTTCCCTTCCTCTCTGCCTGCCTCTCTGCCTACTTGTGATCTCTGTCAAATAAATAAATTTTAAAAAAAGAAAAAAATCAGGTCATGTCATGCCTCTTCGATGGCTTCCCCACTGTGTGAGAATGAAGAGCCAAGCTCTCATGAGGCCCTCGAGGCCCTGCACAATCCGGCTTCTGCAGTCCTAGCTACCTCTTCCAGCTCCTCTTGCTTCCGCTCACCATGTGGCAATCACCCTGGTTTTAGTCTTGTTCCCCAAATATGCCAGGTGCGTGCCCACCTCTGGGCCTTTGCACCTACTCTCTCCCCTTCCCGGAAGGCTGTGCCTTCAGGGCTTCATTGGCCTGACTCACAGCTCCATGTCATTTAGGCCTCAACTTCAAGGGCTCCGCTCATTGCCCTTCTCAGATCCCTAAGGTAGGCCCCCCCTGCGCCCCAGAAAAGTCACCACCACATCACCCAATCACACTCTTCAACTGTCCTTAAAATACTTATTGGTGTTTGAAATCACCTTGTTCATTGGCTCATGTCTTCGCTATCTGACCCTCTGTGCTAAGGCTCCAAGGAGGCAGGGATTCTGGTCTGTCTTGCTCACAGCTGTCGCCATTGTCCGGAAAGGCCCTCTCATGGCAAAGGCCCTCTCATGGCGAAGGCCATCAACGAGCACGCCATTCTCTTTGTCCCACCCATCAGGGCCCCCAGGGCTCTTCCTCAGGGCTGCCAGCATGATCCGCGTAAAATGACACTCTTTTACTCAAAATCCTTGGGGACTCTAGACTGCCTCTCCTCATCCAACTGCCACCCAAACCCATTCTCCTCCTTAGGTCTCACCATCCCATGAAGCTCCCGGGTGCCTCGAGGGGCCACACACCTGTGTGCCCGCTGCTCTTTCCGCCTGGCCCACCGTCAGTGTCTTCCTGGCCCACCACCTGCCACTTCCTCTGCCAACAGACGCTGCTCTCGCAACAACTGGCCGGCCGTGCCAGCCAGCAGCCGTCCTCGTCGTCTACACTGGTTCGTGCCCCCTCCCTTGTTTTGCCCTAGCAACCCGGGCTTGCCCCGCCACAGCCTCTGTCGCACCGGGCTGGCCTCACCTGTCTTCTCCAGACAGAGGGCACACTGGTTGGAACCATGTATGGGTCCCCCCCGTCCCTGACGTTCACGTTACATCACTTTGCTTTGACGAAAAACCCACTTCAGTATCTGTTTCAGCCAACAGAAAGACATCTGAAGAGGATGTTTGCTTTTACAAAATGTGAATTGCTTGTTTGCTTGTTGCCGTTTATGGCTTAGGAAAGGTTTCACAGGTACGCTCTCCTTTTCAGATAGTCAGGGGGGAGCCTGTACGCCTGGCCCTCCAGGGCCTGGCTGATCGAGGACCCCATTAATGGTGCCAGCACGTGCAGGAGAAGAGGTACTATCTGGTTGGCTGCTGAGGTGGACTCGAGCCAGAAAAGAGGCTCTCTCTCGGGATGGATTAACAGCTCACGGCCTGAACTGGCAGGAAATGGAGCCCGTTGAAGAGGGAATGAGCAGGACCCAGGGGCTCTGTTTTGCTCTCCCTGGGGCTCACAGAAACAAGGTCTGGGTGGCCAATGCCATGGCCAGTAGCGGGACTTTCCTTCTCTTAATTTAAACATACTTGTCCTACGCACTCAAACAAATAGAGCCACAGGAGGTCTTCATCAAATCACGCACTCTCACTTCTCCCGTGGGAGACAATGACCAGGAACGGAGAGCTTACTACTGGGGTGCATGACCTCCAATAGCCCCTGGCACAGCCTGCTATATTCAACTAAGGCATCAGGCAGAACACCACCGCTTTACCCACAGATATGCACCAAGAGGCACTTGCTACCGCCTGAAACAGGCTGGTCCAGCTTTTCAGGAAAAGATTAGCCTTGCCCAAAGTGAAGGCCGTTTCCGTGCAGGTTCCGGGAATTGGATATGGCTTTAATTTCCAGAGTACCTCGCTGCAGTCCTGGCTTCTCTGGGAAGCCCTGCCCTGACCCACTGCCCCCCCACCCCCACCATGCTTTCCACTCTGATAACCTGTCCCCAGTCTCCACGGTTATCCGACTGTGCCTTTCGAACGAACGAGAGGCAAGGCATCCCCGTGGGCCAAACCCCTCCTGTAGCAGGCTCCATGCATGCGTACACCAGTGTACATACAGGATCCTCCTACCAAGACGGAGAGGCTGTGGCACAGATGGTGTCCCCTCGGGGGGCCTGAGTTCACTCTCCCACCCCAGCCCTGGCCCTCCTGTTCTCCACACTCCCAAGGTCCGGGGGAACATGCAGGCTGTGGCCATGCCAGGGCCAGAGGAGGAGAGTGTGGGCTGGTTAAAACAGGCCCAGACATACTCACGGGGTCCGTCAGCATGGCCCGGCAGTGGGAAGCCAGGGCCAAGAAGGCCAGCAAGTTGAACACAATTCCGTTGATGATGCTGTACACGTAGTCTCGGGATGGAATCAGCATGACAAAGAGGACCACAAACTCCGCATAGAGGACCAGAAACCAGGTGACAATGGCACAGGCAATGCCACAGCCGTCGCGGATAAACCACATGGTTCCCACAGGACCGGGGTGGGGAGGTGGGACACACTTCTCCGGCTGGAGGTATTCTGGCTTCCGCTCAATGTCTCGGAAGTGGTGGGTGGGGAGAAGCATCATAAGCTATTCTGTCCATACTGGCATCTGGAAGAGAGAAGAAAGGACCCAGAAAATTGGTGGTGTCTTGTTATCAAGGAGACTTGATAAAATCACCTTTCTAAAGTAAGCCATGAGGGACACCTGGGTGGCTCAGTGGGTTAGGCGTCTGCCTTCGGCTCAGGTCAGGATCCCAGGGTCCTGGGATCGAGCCCCGCATCGGGCTCCCTGCTCAGTGGGGAGCCTTCTTCTTCCTCTCCCTTTGCCCCTTCCCCCCCAACTCAAGCTTGCTCTCTCTCAAATAAAGAAATAATAAAAAATAAAATGTGAGCTCTTGGGACACCTGGCTGGCTTAGTTGGAAGAACACGTGACTCTTGATCTTGGGGTCATGAGTTCGAGCCCCACATTGGGTGTAGAGTTTACTTAAAAAAAAAAAGAAAAGGAAAGAAAAGTAAGTTCTCTTCCTTACTTCCTTCCGAGAGTTAACTTAGCCTTTGCGAAATAGGGCCACCTTGCCCAAAGCCCTCACATGACAGATATGTAAAGGGAGCCTTCCAAGGGCAAATGCCTCCCCCAAGGTCAGCTGGAGCCGTAGCTGCACACACAAGACACCAACTCAGAAGTGGGGCTAGAACTCATGTCTCTCTGTTTACAAGGGATCGGATCTACTGGGAGGACGGTGTCAAAAAACATGTTCCAGTTATGACTTAAAAGACAAGACAGGGCACAGAGCACCAAAACCTCTGGGAAAACTCTCTTCAGCGTGAACACTGCTGCCTCTGTGACAAGGACAAACCCAGAGGCTGGTGTTGAAGGCTGTCTGGGGTTAACAGGGATGATGAGGAGGAAAGGACCTGGTGACCTAGGACCAGGGTTAAGCGGCAACCATGAAGACGCTCTCACTTACTACTGCATTAGCTAATGGCAAAGGCAAAACAATCACCAGGAGAGGGAAGGTTCTTGAAACCAACCAGGTTTTTCAGTCCTATGGCCCAAAGAGCTGATTTCCCAGCAACCAAGAGACCCCCTGAGTTCTCCCCTCCTCGCAAGTGATGGGGTCAAGTGCAGAACGTTGGACAATGAGTCCAAAGGTGTTCCTCCACCTGACTGTGAGGCGTCGTGAGCCTTCGTGTCCTCACCTGCGGAGACACCCCCTTGCAGCCCTAGCGCCCCCGCCCCCAGGGCTGGTGTGAGGCCCAAGGGAGCTGCAGGTGCTCCTGACAAACGCCACGGACCGTAAGGGCCCACACACCACGGGCCCCACACACATGGCACATTCTCTCTAGGAAAGACAGCCATTCCTTCCAAAACAAGGGCTGAGCAACGTGCCCCTTCTTCCCAACAGCTGCAGCCCGCGTCTCTGGAGACATTATTTAATGAAATAACTCAGGATGGATAATAAAGTTGATCTGTCCACAGCGTGTGCCGCAAAGCGCAGCTAGTACACATTTCCCCCTGATTCCTTATGGAATGTGTGGCGGCCCGTTGCATCACCAGGCCGGTTTCTCACTCAGAAACTGCACCGGTGGGAGGCTTGCCCCAGATGCCGGCGCCACAGAGAGGCCACCGGCGCGGTCTATGGCACCGCAAGTGACATCTTTGGGCCCCTGAGAACTCCAGGCACTTTGTAGCAGCAGAAACCATTCATAGGAGGCACTGGCTCTGTGTCTTTTTCTGGAGGCCGGGGCTCTACAGGGCACGAGCAAACCTTCAGTGGTTGTGCCGGGCTTTCCTCACCCTTTGGCCTTCTTCCTCCCCTGTCCTCAGCCCCAGCACGGAGCGAGCCTCTGGACTGAATATGCTGCAGTCACGACGAGGCAGGACGTGTCCAGAAAGCTGAGCGGGCAGAGCAGTCACCGCTCCTCAAAATGATGGACACTTAGGGTCCAAAGTTGCCGAGGCTAATAATGAAAGAACAAGGCTGGGGCCTCCCCTCTCCAGGATGGCGGAGAATTAATGGCTGAAAGGCAGTATGACTCCAGAAAGAGCGTGACTATCACACGCTGGGTACACCGTGCTGGGAGCCAAGGGATGGGGAGTCATGACGTATGGAATAACCACCCCAAGTAGAGTAAAAGCAGTGGTTTCCCACAGGCTGTCAACCAGAGTCTTCGAATAAAGCAATTTTGTGCTCGCCACAAGACAACGGCAATTGGTGCCGCTGGCAACAACCTAGAGGCCTGAAGGATACACGGATGCCCTTGTGAAGCACCGAATGGAAGGACAGCAGGGGCCTGCAGACAGGGGTGTCTGCGACTGGACCCGGGCCCAGCAGAGTCTAACATCCTAAGCTCCGTTCCATCAAAAGCCAACAAACGAAAAGCTGAAATCCCATGAAATCCTACAACGATTCCAGAGCTGATGAAAGCTCAGCATTTTGACGACTTCCACAGGCAAGCATTCTCGTAGGTTTTCCTGCTGCCATACAGGTCTGTGAGTACTAACCACATAGTTTCCCTGGACCACAGTCATGAGATTCAAAGACGTATGGGCTCTGTCTGCTCTTTTGCATTACAATGGCACAGCTGAGCCGTTCTGCTGAGGCCCTACGACCAGCAAGTATAAAAAGCCTGCTTAGTCTCTAGTGTTTTTTCCTTTAAGATTTATTTTTATTTAAGTCATCTCTACACCCAACGTGGGGCTCAAACTCATGACCCTGAGATCAGGAGTCGCCTGCTCCACTGACTGAGCCAGCCAGGCGCCCCCACTCTCTAGCTTTATACAGAAATTCGCTGACCCACAGTTCGAGGTGGCTGTTATCCACCAGATAAGTGAGATCTGTCTTGGCTCCAGCTTTCCCTCCAGAACAGCTCAGTGCGACAGAGATGGGTGGTTACAAATCACCCCGCCTCACCCATGTCTGTGGCAGCATAACCTCCTGTCATCTACAGCCCAATGGTCATCTCCCTGAAACCTGGGTACTCCATCAAAGGGTTCTGTGTGGTTTTCTGAAATGGATCATCACTGAAAATAAATTTCAGAGCACTGCTCCTGCATAGGTATTTCCAGTGATTTCATTCGGCTCGTAGTATATTCAGACCAGCTGACTGTATCCTCTCGTCAATTACTCATTCTTGATTGTACACATGGCAACAACTTGAGGAACAGACCCTTCCACCTAAGTAAATTTCCCAGTAACTGTGGCTTGTCTCTGAGCAGATACGCATTTTAACCATTAGGATGGTTAGGTGGAAATGAAAAATAAAACACCGAAGTAAAATAAAAACAGACCAAAGAAAAAGATACTATACCTGCTGCTGTCTTAAGTACAATAGCCATCCATTTCTTTGGAATGATTTAGTTATTACCGGAACACCACTTCCTGGAGTGGGTCAGGGAATGATGTCCTCAGGAGTCGTGGAGACTCACTGAGCTCTTGGCCTCACACCAGCTGGCCTGTTCAGACTACTAGAATTCCAATTCCAACATCTCCTTTGTCTGGTTCTTTGTCTTCCTCTTCCATTCCTGGCTACTATCATTTCTGTGTCTACAGTTACCAATCCCCCTGACAAACTCTCCATTTATGACCACTAATTGGCTGTGGGCTGGAAAACAAATAAAACTAAACCTGGTTTAGTTTTATTTGTTTGTAAAAGAAGGGTACTCGTTTTAGGTAATAGGCCTTTAGGGAACACCTGCTGTGCTCTCCCAGCATAAGGTTCCTGTGGGCTGGAAGCCCTGTCTGTTCGTTAGCCCAGGGCCTGGCACATAGCAGCTATTTACTGTGCGTTCGTTACACAAATGCTTGAGTACAATGCCAGAGCGTTGTGATTCCAGGCCCACCTCTGGAGGCCCTGTCTGCTTCCTTTCAGGGGTACGGACATATCCTAGATGGTGGAGGGAGCACCAAGTAGGACTGTGAAGTAAGTGGACTGTGACTCTTATTTAAGCAACCAGAATGTTCCATCTTCAAACAATGTGGGACCAAAGAGTGTATAGAGGAGCTCTGTTCTCCCCTCACTGGTGAGGGAGAACCTGTGATCCGGGCCAGCACTCAGACAAGGGCACCCTCGGCAGAGTCAGATACCAAGTACTGAACTCAAGTTCACATTCCAACCCACACTTCAGAGTTTCAAAATATCCTGCTCAAAACCAATCAAGGCACACTGCGATAAAGAGTTTGCTTAACCCCAAGGCCACTCGAGCGATAGAAGTAGCTTTCCAATAACGATCTGTTCCTTAAATTAGCTAACTGGAAATCTGACAAGTATGGGGAAAACCTCACCTTGAACAAACAGTGCACCTTCCCTTCACTTCCCTTCACTCTGCCCCTAATGACCACATTAGGAGAAGCAAATGTTGACCTTTTTTCCCTTTTCTATTTTGAATTAGGGAAACTCCAATCACTGGGGTTGAGGAGTGGCTCTTTACCTATGTCTGACTCCCCACGAGTCCCTTGCTTGAAGCGTTGGGCAGTACTGTTTGCTCAGGCCTCTGGGTTGTGCATACAAGGAGGCTGGTGGGTCTGGGGACCTTTAATTCTGCCCACCAGCTCACACCCTGAGAGGGGCAGCCTTCTCCAGTCCTCCCTGCGTCCCACACCTCTCACCCCATTCCCTTGCCCTGTTGGCCCTCTAAATTCTCCCGTGTTCAGTTCAGTTCGATTCAAAAACATACTTCCGGAGCAGCCACTAAGTGTAAGGAACTGTGTGGGGCGCTCACTCACAAGGGAATGCGTGTGTGCTGCCCAGTACAGGCCCTGTCGTTCCCCTCTGCCAGCTCCCAATCTGCTCAGACTAGTCTTACTTGCTTTGTTCTACTAACCGGCAAGTCCCATTTTGTTTGGCCTTGGAGCCTGGTATCTGGCAGGAGTATGTGCTCACATCTTTATTTCTTGAGTGAATGGATGCAGAAATCAGACCTATCCCACAATGACCCTAATATATAGGTTTCTAATGAACAGCACAATGGAGAGACAAACAGTAACGCCCCTACCCCCCCAAAAAACCCCCGAAGTCCAGAAGTGAGATCAATAGACTTCCTCATGGCCAGGGCATTTAAAGGGAGAGGATCTGAGCAGGGCACGGAGCGAGGTGAAGTGTTCCAC